GCCGTGCTCACCTGCGCTGCGTCGAAGCGGCGCAGCCCGGCCAGGTGCAGCTGCACGAGCGCCCGGAAGGCCCGGCTGACGCGCTGCAGCCGGAGCAGCTGGCGCAGGGGCACCCGGCTCAGGACGTGCGGGAGCAGCACGTCTTCCCACGGCAGGTCCAGCAGCCTGCGGGTACAGGGGCGTCCGCGTCCCTGTGCCGCTGTTACCTGCAAGTCCGCCTCCGCTGTTCTGCTGAGCCCCGGCTCGCAAGGGCGGGCCCCGGGCCCCGGGCCCGATTCCGGCTCAGCTCCCCTCCCCCCGGGTCTCTCTTCCCTCCCTCGGACCCTCCAGCACTCGGTACCTGACGGCTCCAGGTTCTTGCTCCACTCCGGACGGCTCCATTGGTGACTCCATCGCTGTCTAACGCGCGTGCGCAGTAAGATCTCACTTTGGCCTTGGAACAGCTGCAGCGATCCGCCTACTTGAGCTGTCGGGACAGACCGATTCAATCGAGTGCAGTCTCGCTGAGGAACCTATTTATCTGATAGCTTTCCGGGTGGACCCGAAGCTGAAGCAGAACGCACCAGTGGTGTAACATTAGATCTTGCCTTTTGGGCTGCAGGGCTTGAAGCCCGAGGCGGCAGGAGCGGTGGATGCAGACTGCTTTTCCGTCTTGGTCCGGGCGGGTGGCCGGCTGCCTCGGAGTGAAGTGGTGGGAGGAGCGGGGCAGGCCGCAGGCAGGGGGGCGGAGCCAGGATCCCAGTTTGCCGAGGCAAACCCCCACCCCCGTCTTCAACGACTTCGGAAAATGGGGGGAAGTTGTCTGGGCCCTTACTCTCGGGCCCGCAGTGGGCGCTCAGTAAGTAACTGCCTGGGCTGGAAGGGGAGCTCAGTGTTCGAGCTCTTGCACTTGCCAAGGGTGAGCGAGGTCCGGAGTTCGATCCCCAGCACCGCCAGGATAATGACCGCTGAAAGAACAAATAAATGGGGTGAAGCTCAAATTTTCCTTTTCACCAAGCAAACTTTATCAAACCTCCCATCCCTAGATAGCTGTGAAATAGGAAATATCCATCCTCTTCCACTTCGGGACGGTGTGGGCCGGGCTTTGCCTGGGGAGGAAGACGAAGAGGGTATTAAGAAGGACTGTACATTCAGCGGATGCGCTCCTTTCCCGGAGTCCTGAGAAGATGGAACGCTAGCTCAGCCCAGCAGGAGTCCTGCTTCTCCGACGCCCCTGGGTTACTGTAGGGTGGGGCTGGACCCGCCTTGGAGCCACCCAGCTTCCTTCTCACTGCGTCCCCAGGTCCTAGGCCCAGGCTCCGCTCTGGGAGGTCCCTGGAGTTGCTCCTTCCTCCGCCCACGAGCTGGGAACGTGCAGGACGCCGGGCCACTGCCATCGGTCAGGGTCTCGCGCTCCTTCCGTGCAGCTGCTTCAGCCGCCTGCTCATTCCATTCCCAGCCGTGATCTCATCGGGGCTTCGGCGCCTCTACAAGGTGGGCAGGTCTGTGCTTTCACTCCATTTTAAACATGGGGAAACCGAGGCCTTGGAGAGGAAGCGCCTCGGCCAGGATCAAACGAGACTGGGATGGAAAACCCAAACATCTTGGTTGTCCCAGAATCCCCTTCACGTTCCCTCACCCCGCTAATGCAGCAATAAGGGACAAGCCGGCAGCGGAAAAAGCCCAGAAGGGCGTCTAGTTGGACGAGGGCCTTGCTTCTCTTCTTCCTCAGGCTGCTCTGGAAGGAGGCAGCTAGGACTGACCTCTGCAAAGATAGACAGACGTGGGCGCGCACCACCTCTGGCCGCGCGCCTCCTCCCCCTCCCCGCTTTGTTCGCACCTCTGCGCCTGCGCAGTACAACCAATCTGGCGCTGTCCCCTTCAGCACCACGCGGAGCCCGCGCCACCCCTCCCCGCGGTGAGCCCCGCGCGCCCCCGCCTCGCACTTCCGCACGCCCCCTGACCGCCAAAGCAGACCCCTTCTTCCTTCCGAACCTACCCGCCCTGCCTTTCCTAAGGAGAGTAGTTGCCATAGTAACCCGTGTGGCCCTTCCTTAAAATAGCCAGACCCCTCTCTACCCTGGCCAAGGACGCTAGGGTGGCCCGTCGTCCATCTCCTTCCAGTCTCCGGGTCGTCCTAACGGAGCTCTTAGCCCTGGAGGGCGAGACAGCTAGCTCAGGCAGCAAGCAAGTCCTTCCTGCAGCCTTACTCCTCCTGACTTATTCCCGGGTGGGTGATCAGGACTGGGTCTCTTGGGTCTGAGGCTCAGAACCCCCAAGGGTTCAGGATGGTGCCCGTTTGATCTCCTTCCCATAGTGGGTCTTCTGGATCTAGGGGGCGGGTCCGGTCTACACCGCACCGTGTGCCTTGCGCGGCCGCGTGCTCGTGGGGGCGGGAGCGTGTGTGGCATGTAACAGGTCATGTGGCAGCCCTCCTAGGGACACGCGTGGGGTCTGGTGCGGGACACGCGTGTGCAGCGGGCCCTGCGTGTGGCTCAAGATTCAGTGGGCGAGAGGGACGTGGACACGAGTGCGGCGGGGCATGTGAGGGTCTGGGAGAAGAGCCCGGGCTTCCCTGCCCTCCCCCTCGTCTGGGGCGGGTTCTGGGCTGGCGGGAGAGCCCAGTGGGGATTGAGCGACGAGGGGGTTGGCAGCCTTTGGGGCTCAGGGCCCTGGGAGAGGAGGGAGGTGGGAGATTAGCGTTGCGGGAGCGGCGCGCGGGTGGGGGTGTTGGAGGAGGGACCGGAGGCAGGCGGGCCTGGAGCGGCGGGAGCTGCCTGCACAGCTGAGCCGGCCCCGCTCTGCTTCCCCTCGGTCCAGCTCCGGAAGAGCCGCGGTGAGTACTGAGGTGGCTCTGGGTAGGGGCTGCAGAGGACGTGCAGGGGGCCCTGTTGAGCTTCAAGAGCCTGCCTGGTAGCCTTGCTGCTCCTGACCTCGGTCTCTACCCCTCCCTATCATCCCTTTCCGGTCCCTCTTGGGCTGGGCAAGATGTGTCATATTCCTTGGGGGAGGAGGGAGGAGAGGGTATCGAGCAGTCTTAGCCTGACCCGAACACCGTCGTGGGGGAGGGGAGGGTGTGTGTGTGTGTGTGTGTGTGTGAGTGAACGGGCGTCTGTGTTTGCTTGTGATTGTGACCAGCAGGTCTGTCGATACACCTGTGCCTGTGTGCCCTGGAGAAGGAATGAGCGCCTGTGTGTATATTTGGGTACCTCTTTGTGTGTTCCTGTGTGATGATGGTGTGTGTGTAAAACAAGCATGTGCCTTTCCATTACACACATATTTGTTATGACTGAGAGTGTATGAGGGTGTGTCTTTAAGCAGTATGTGTGTGTGTCTGTGTCTACCGGAGGGTGCTGCTTATGACTGTGCTGAGCTGTACACTGATGATATATTGTCCTTAGGTATGTGTGTGTACTGTGCACGTGTGCAGTGTGGATGCATGTGTGTGTTCATGTGCATCCGTACCTGTATGAAAAAGAATCTCCGTCTTGTTCAGCATCTCTGTGTCGGGTAGGAACCTCTGCTTAGGCCTCTCTGCTCACCTCCACCCGGGCTCAGCCTTCACCGTCCCTACATAACCCCTGTTCTTCCCGCCCCTCCCTCCAGGAGCCCTGAGTCTGCCCTTCCTGGGTGAGTGAGCCCCCTAAGAGGCACTGGAGCGGACCTGGCTGTAAGAGGATGGCTGGCTGGCTCGTCCTGTTCAGAGCCGGGGTAGCAGCCTCCCCTCACCAGGTTTAGCTCCAAACTGCCCAGGGGCTTGACTGGACCAACTTCTGAACTAGCTTCCTCCCTCCAGGGCGCTGCTCAGGGCCTCAGGAAGGAGAGGAGCCAGGGCCCACCGGCAGGGCCCTCCCCTTCTCCTCAGCCCTCAAGGGTGGCCCAAGTGACCCGTGTTCCCAGGGTGGGGGGTGTCCCTGGAGCCCTGCCGCTGTGGTTCTGCCCATCTAACTTCCCGGCACTTCACGCCCGCTTCCTCCTCTCTTGCAGGCCTGCTGAGGAGCATGCAGCCCCCTCACCCCCCACCTGGCCTGGCCATCCCTGCCCCCCCAGCCTGACCCCCGGCCCCAGCATGGCCCAGGGTGCCATGCGCTTCTGCTCGGAAGGCGACTGTGCCATCTCCCCACCACGATGCCCTCGTCGCTGGCTCCCCGAAGGCCCGGTCCCCCAGAGCCCCCCAGCCAGCATGTACGGCAGCACAGGCTCCCTGCTGCGGCGAGTGGCAGGCCCGGGTCCCCGCGGCCGGGACCTGGGTCGCGTGACCGCACCCTGTACACCTCTGCGTGGTCCCCCCTCTCCTCGTATTCCTCCCTCACCCTGGGCACCCTCTTCACCCCCTGGGCAGCCCCCACCAGGGACCCGGAGCTCTGTGGTCATCTTCCGCTTTGTGGAGAAGGCCAGCGTGAGGCCACTGAATGGGCTGCCTGCATCTGGAGGCTTGAGCCGGAGCTGGGACCTGGGCGGGGCGTCTTCCTCCAGGCCCGCCCCCGCCCTTGGGCCTGGCTCCAACCGCAAGTTTCGACTGGAGGCATCCACATCAGACCCACTTCCAGCTGGAAGAGGCTCTGCCCTTCCTGGCAGCCGGAACACTCTCCCTAGGCCACCAGTCCTACCCCCGGTTGGGGCCGACGGCCTCTACTCCTCTCTCCCCAACGGGCTGGGGGGCCCTCCCGAGCGTCTAGCCACACTGTTCCGAGGACCTGCTGACACTGGGCTCCTGAACCAGGTATGCCACCTGCTGTGGGCTCCCTGCAGCCCTAGTGCCCCTATGAAGGGGAACACTTGGCCCCATCAGACTTGGGCCTGTCTGTTATCACTCTGAATGTTTTAATGGCCTAACTCCCTCTCTCTTGTCCTCTGTGTTTGTCCCTGTGTGTCTTTATTTCTACTTCCGCCCCATATTCTCCTGTCTTTCTGTGTCGGGGTTTATCTCTGGGTGCCTATGTCTCCATCTGTGGCTCAGGGGGACACCTGGTCCTCCCCTCGGGAAGTGTCTTCTCATGCCCAGAGAATTGCTCGAGCCAAATGGGAATTCTTCTATGGCTCCTTGGACCCCCCCAGCTCAGGTAAGGCTGGGGGTGCGCCCAGGGAACAGGCAGAGCCCCACACAGCAGCTGAGGACTGGCCAGCTTCCTTTGAACCTTCCCGGGGCCAAGGTCACAGCTTCTCCAGGCCGTGCTCTTCCCATCTGTCATGATGGCGACTGGAGCGGGCCTGGGCCGGGCCCTGGAGGAAGCTGGGTCACGGAGGCAGGGATGGCAGGACATTACGGGTCACTGCTTTGACTAAGAAAGCAGCCAGTCCCAGGGGGCTTCGCCAAGCTGTCGGACAGGAACTCTGTTTGCAGCCAGCTCCACTGTCACCCAGGGCAGGGGGAGTGGTGGCTAGACAGTGAGACTTCCTGCCCACCAGAGGTCGCGGGGGTCCAGCACAGGACCAGGCAGGCGTCCCCGCGTCCCCGCCTAACCGGGATGCCTGTGCGTGCCTACCGCAGGTGCTAAGCCCCCAGAGCAGGCCCCCCTCTCCCCACCCATGGTGGGCTCAGGGCCAGGCTCTGGGGTGGCTGTGGGGCGAGCAGCTGAGTACTCGGAGACAGACTTGGACACAGTGCCCCTGAGGTGCTACCGAGAGACCAACATCGATGAGGTGCTGGCTGAGCGGGAGGAGGCGGACTCGGCCATTGAGAGTCAGCCCAGCTCCGAGGGCCCGCCGGGCACTGCCGGGCCACCCGCCCCACGTCCCGGCCTGTGCCCCAGGCCTTGTTCCAGCCTGGGCAGCGATGATGAGGACGAGGATGAGGCAGGCGGGCAAGAGGATGTGGATGATGAAGTGTTTGAGGCCTCAGAGGGGTCCCGGTGAGTGGGGAGATGGGCGAGGAATGTGCCTTGGTCTCTCACTGGCCCTGGGGGAGCTGGGTCGAAGGGACCAGGACAGGGATGGCAGGCTGGGAGGGTCGGAAGCAAGTGGGTGGTGTGACGGCAGCGTGGGGACCCGAGAGGTCCGAGGCCGGAGGCCTGGCTCCTCAGCGGGCTGCAGGGGCATCAGCAAGGGCCTGGAAGGCTGGGCAGCAGCCAGAGAGAGGGCAGCGGGTCCTAGAGGATCAGGGGCCTGGGGAGAGGCCAGAAGTCGGAGCCCAGCCTGGGCACGCTTCGCATCAGTCTGAACCCGGGGTCCCCGCAGCAGAGGGGCAGTGTGGGGCTTTCCTATCCGTCTCACACCCCCTGCAGCTTGGAGCCTCATCTTCTCCTAAGATGTTGCCAGAAATAGCAACGGGATGGCAGGAGGGAAGCGGATCAGGGGAAAGGAGGAGAAAGGGAGATTAGCAGTGAGGGAGAGGAGGAGGGAGGGGGAGAGGGTGGGGCGCCGGCCAGGCAGGGGTAGGGCGGGGTAGGGCCGCAGTCAGATACTCTTGGACCCTCTACTCTGGTTCTTGTTCTTTGTTTTGCTTTTGAACGGGATCGAGGCGACCCTGTGTATGGCAGTGTGGAGTTCAGGGAAACCCTGCCATGACTTGTGCTCCAGGGTGCTGATGAGACACTCTCCCCCCACAGCAGGCCAGGGGCCCGGATGTCTCACCCCGGGCCCGTCAAATCTCCTGTGCCCTTTCTCCCTGGGACCAGCCCTTCTGCCGATGGGCCCGACTCTTTCAGTTGTGTGTTTGAAGCCATCCTGGAGTCACACCGTGCCAAGGGCACGTCCTACACCAGCCTCGCCTCCCTGGAGGCCCTGGCCTCACCTGGCCCAACACAGAGCCCCTTCTTCACCTTTGAGCTACCGCCCCAGCCCCCTGCGCCCCGGCCTGACCCACCTGCTCCTGCCCCACTGGCCCCTCTGGAGCCAGATTCTGGTACCAGCTCTGCTGCTGATGGTCCTTGGACACAGAGAGGGGAGGAGGAGGCAGAGGCTGGAGCCAAGCTGCCCCCAGGAAGGCAGCCCCCTAGTCCCTGCCACTCAGAGGACAGCCTTGGGCTCGGGGCAGCTCCCCTGGGCAGGTGAGTAATTCCTTTGGTCCCCCCAGCCCTAAGGCCCCCAGGACCAGCTGGTTAAGGGGCAGATCCCAGATCCGAGTGTGAGGATGCAGTTTACATTCCTGACCCAGCGGGGCAGTTAGCAGAAGTCTATTTCCACACTGGGAGGACCACTTCCCCTGGCCCTCACATGCCCCCTGGGCTGGGGCCCTGAGACTGGAGAGATGGAGATTCAGATGGGAAGATCCTCAGAGAATGTCCCTTTCTCTCTGGAGGGCCCTCTCATTCTCCAGGGGAGTCTTTTGCCTCCACCCAGGCTGGAAGCTTCTCCAAAGATGGAGCCAGCCATCCCTCCCCTCGCCTCCCTCTCAACCCTCTCACGCTGCTCTCTCCTGCAAGGCGTCTCTCACCCTGCTCCAGGGAAGTCCTTTCACAGCCTAACCTTTCCGCTCTCCCCTTTGCCAGCTACCCTCTCAGTCATGGAAGCCATGGCAACAGGAGGGGGTGGCCAGGGAGACAGGGTTGCCTAGCAACCAGGAGTTTCCGTCCTCTGTCTCTGGGGTGACAGGTGGCTTTGCGAGTAGAGCAGCTGGGGTAGGAAGGGGAGGGGAGGAAGAAAAAGGGGATGAAGGGTGTGCCCTGACACCCCAGTCCCCATCCCCTTAACTCCAGAGCTTGTGTCTTTGTGGGTAGAAGGGGGGTGCCAAGGAGAGACGACTCTCCCTCAAAGCTGGCTGGAGGGAAGACTTGGAAGCATAGGAGTGTCCCTCCTGCCCTCAGATGTCTGTCTGACTCTCCACCGCTTCTCCCTGGCAGCCCATCTAGCCCACCTTTGCCCAGAGGCTCACAGAGAAAGGACTATGTTCTGAGGGCTAGTGTGGGGATAGCAATTGGTATCTACTGGCAAACTCAGGCCCATGGGAGCAGAACTGCCCTAGCAGCAAGTTGGGCGAGGGTTAGATTTGAGGCCGGACTTCCACAGAGAGGTAACCACGATGAAGCAGGCTGGTCCAGACAACCTGTCCAATCTCGATGTCTGGAGAAAGAGAAAATGCTCTTCCCATGTCTTGCCTTCTCCTGTCTTCGGGTCTGGTGGCGCAGGGAGGGTCTGGATGACCTCTGGGAGCTCTGCCCCAAGCCCGCCCCGCTGTTCTGACCCGGCAGTGAACCACCCCTGAGTCAGCTGGTCTCAGACTCAGACTCAGAGCTGGACAGCACAGAGCGGCTGGCGCTGGGAAGCACGGATACCTTGTCCAACGGGCAGAAGGCGGATCTGGAGGCCGCACAGCGCCTAGCCAAGAGGCTGTACCGACTGGATGGCTTCAGGAAGGCCGATGTGGCCCGGCACCTGGGCAAGAAGTAAAGCTGCTGGGTGGGGTCAGGGCTGGGGGCAGAGGGAGTGCATCCTGGGCAGCACCTCCACACCCTCTCCATCTAACTGGCCTAGGTCTCTAGGCAGCCCCCAGCTGGCCCCTGCCACTTCCCCTGAACCCCACCTGTCTTTCTGCCTGCCTACAGCAACGACTTCAGCAAGCTGGTGGCCGGCGAGTATCTCAAGTTCTTCGTCTTCACGGGCATGACTCTGGACCAGGCTCTCAGGTGGGCGCGAGCCCTCGGAGGGAGGTCTCCACTCTCCAGGCTGGCGAGCAGCGCTTCCCCAAGGGGCCTGATGTCAGCCTTCCTTCCGAGCTCGCTGGGCACGGCCTGGGCCTGGGCCTGGGCCTGGACGAAGTCTCCTTTTCCCCCTCCAGGGTGTTTCTGAAGGAGCTGGCCCTCATGGGTGAGACCCAGGAGCGGGAGCGCGTGTTGGCCCACTTCTCCCAGCGATACTTCCAGTGCAATCCCGAAGCCCTGTCCTCGGAGGGTGAGGAGGCTGGGAGCAGTGCTGTCCCTGTCGGCCACTGAGGTGGACGGGCTGGGCATAACACCTGTGCACAGGAGAAATACATGCACGTGCTTGCAGGCGTATAAGCATGGCTGCGGGCGTGCGGAGCGACACATGTGGCCAGGCATACTGCTAGGGTCGGGGCCGAGAGGCAGGCGGCAGATGTGTTTGCATGCATTTCCCCTCATAGCGGTGCCGCACAGCACAGCGCTTGGCGGGGGAGGTGCGCTGTAACCACACAGCTGTGCGGGGTCTGCGCGCTCGTGCAGCGTGCGGAAACGCGTGTGCGTCCAGGGCACCAGAGAGCGAGGGAGCAGCGCCGCAGAGGAGGGGAGGCCCTTGCTGAGGGAGCTGCTGGAGGAGATATGGGACGGGCTAGCAGCGTTCAGGTCTCAGGAAGGTGTGGTTGTGGCTGACGGGGTCCCGAAGGGGCAGGGATATACTGGGAGGTTAGGCACGGGGGCAGCGGGGAGCGCTCCTGGGGGCGGCCAGGCTGACCGGCAGTTCTCCCCTAGACGGCGCCCACACGCTGACCTGTGCCCTCATGCTACTCAACACAGACCTCCACGGCCACGTGAGTGGGGGCGGCCGGGGGAGCCAGCGTCAGACCCCTGTCCAGGGACACGGGGGCCCCAAGCTCACAGGCCTGTTTCCTCCCTCAGAACATAGGGAAGCGCATGACCTGTGGGGACTTCATCGGGAACCTGGAGGGCCTCAACGACGGCGGCGACTTCCCCAGAGAGCTGCTCAAGGTCGGGGGCGGGGCGCACAGAAGCTGCCGGAGCGGGCGGGCTCAGGGAGAGAGGGGAGGGCGCGTGACTCAGCCGGGACCACCCCCGCCGGCCTCTCGCAACGTGCGCGTGCAGGCCGCCGGCGAGGGGCGGGGCGCGGCCCTGGCTCCGCCTTCGCCTGCTCATTCCCCGCCTCCAGCGCGGGAGCGTGGGCGCGGAGAGGGCCCCGCAGGGGTGGGGGCGGCACGTGCACCCACGTGCTGCCAGCTCAAGGGCCGGGAGGGACGAAGGCTTTCACCGGGACAGCCTGCACTCTGGCTCCCTCGGGGACTGGCCGGAGCCAGCCGAGGCCGGTCACAAACGCCAGGCGGTCCCCGGGTCCACGCCTGTGCCCCATGGGTGGTGTGTTATCCAGAGGCTTGGACTCACCCAGAGAAACGCAGGGTGGGACCCAGGGCGCTGTGGGCCACTACGCGCCCTTGACCGCACTGACCGTGTCGTAGGAGCGCCCGAGCTTGAGGGCTGTCGGCTTCTGTCTGGGGGGGTGTGGGTGACCCGAGGCGTCGCTGAGCGTGGAGTCGGGTTGTGGAGACAGACACGGCAGGGCGTCTCTGAGCCCAGGGTGCGTGTGACTCGGGGTCTGCTCCGCGGGTGCTGCCTGGGTGTGCACCTTGGAGGCCAGAGTGCGGGGTGTGCGAGAGCTGCAGCGGTGCATTGAGGCGCCCATCTGCAGCGGCGGGGTCTCCGAGTTGGAACGACTGTGAAGTGGTGCGTCAGGGCAGTTGGGGTGCGTGTCCGAGACCCGGTGTGTGGACGCGAGTGGGGTGACTGCGGGCGAGCTCGCTGAGCCAGGGCCACCCACGCCTCTTCGCCGCCAGCCGGCAGGGAGCCCCGACCCCGCCTGCGCGCCGGGCGCCCCCACGCATGCGCCCCCGCCGGCCTCTGCGCCC